ACTGACTGATTACAAGATTGTAGACACCTATGATGCTAATTAGTGGACACACCAACATGAAGTTGATATGATTTACAGAAAGTGTGCAATAATTGGTTCAACAAAATTAGGCAGGTGCATAAATTTGGGCGCTGTTGTCTTTTTATAGATTTCAAAACTTTTAGAACTAATTATTGGAACTCAAATTTGGTTTGGTAAGTTCAGTGACGCTTGACCTCCATACACAGGTGACTCCAATTATGAGAAAGGGCACTTAAGGGGGCAATTGTACGTTTTTCTCCTCTTTGCATCTTCTCTGGAATCGCAGCATGGGAGTCTCAAAACAACTTTCAAATGAGCTGAAAACAAAGATTGTTCACCGTCATGGTTTAGGGGAAGGATACAGAAAGCTGTCACAGAGATTTCAGCTTTCAGTCTTCACTGTGAGAAACATTGTGAGAAAATGGAGGACCACAGGCACAGTTCAAGTCAAGGCTCGAAGTGGCAGACCAAGAAAAATCTCCAATAAACAGAAGTGAAGGATGTTGAGAACAGTCAGTCAACCCACAGACCAGCACCAAAGACCTACAACATCATCTTGCTGCTGATGGAGTCACTGTGCATCGTTCAACTATTCAGCACACTTTACACAAGGAGATGCTGTATGGGAGAGTGATGCAATAGAGTTATTTGGGCACAACAAGAGCTTTTATGCATGGAGGAAAAAGAACACAGCACTCCAAGAAAAACACCTGCTACCTACAGTAAAATGTGGGGGTGGTTCCATCATTCTGTGGGGCTGTGTGGCCAGTACAGGGACTGGGAATCTTATTAAAGTTGAGGGACGCATGGATTCCAATCAATATCAGCAGATTCTGGAGACCAATGTCCAGGAATCAGTGACAAAACTGAAGCTGCTGAAGCTGGGGCTGGATCTCCCCAACAAGACAACGACCCTAAACACTGCTCAAAATCTACGAAGGCATTCATGCAGAGGAACAAGTACAACGTTCTGGAATGGCCATCTCAGTCCCCAGACCTGAACATTATTGAAAATCTGTGGTGTCACTTAAAGAGAGCTGTCTGTGGTTTGAAACCATCAAACCTGAATGAACTAGAGATGTTTTGTAAAGAAGAATGGTTTAAAATACCTTCAGCCACAATCCAGACTCTCATTAGAAGCTATAGGAATCATTTAGAGGCTGTTATTTCTGCGAAAGGACGATCTACTAGATATTAAATAAGGTTTGTTTTTTGGTGCCCAAATTTATGCACCTGCCTAATTTTGTTTAAACAATTATTGCACACTTTCTGTAAATCATATAAACTTCATTTTACTTCTTGAATATCACTGTGTTTCTCCCCTATATGATATATTTAACTGTTTTTTTTAATCCAAACAATCAATGATTTATAAAGGTAAATCAGGAAAATTAACAAGACTGCCCAAACTTTCGCACCCCACTGTATAAAAAAGCTGCTCATCCTGGACAAACTGCGTGACAAGATCAAAGTTTTACAGCAGAATATAAACTTGTTCCTGAAATTCTATTTTAAGATTTAATGCTTATAAGATTGAAGTTATTTTCCCAAGATGATTAGTTTTTAAAGTTTATTTGACTGTTTTTCCTGTTTATTAAAGATGATGAAAAACCCACAGAGAAAAGATAAATCGGGGCATTGTTTCATTTTAACAAAGTTTTTATAGTTTTATCTTTAATTTGATCTTTATTATGGCTAAACAAACTTCTGAACAGTGTATTATCAAACTTCATTCACTGCATTTTTAGAAGATATTTAAAGATATCAACTTTTAGGATCAAACCCAACTCAAAGTATCTTAAGATCAGTTTGTAAAATGGAAACAAAGGAACATATTTTTTCCTATAAAACTGAATTGTTTAATCAACTTTGCATTATCTTGATTGCTATTTGACTGCATAAGCGCATTTGCCACATGTGACTGCTCTTATTCTCACGTGCAGAATCACGCAGAATGCTGGTTTATAGTGCGCTTCATTAAGCGCAAACACAAGCTCTTAGTTTGCAGTTAGACAATTAGATCACAGTTGAACCCCATTAGCTCAGCAGAACATGCGCTACAGTAAAGCTGATGACTGCTCGATGAGGTCAGAGGTCAGCAACTGCTGCAAAAAAAGTAAGTTTCTTCCTCAGGTTCATTTTCAAGATTTAATCCTGAAGATTTAAATCACATACAGTTTACACATGAGCATGTATTTGACTGTTTGTGGGTTAGCTTGTTCCCATGGATCATTTATTTTCGTCAGTTCACTTCTGTGCTGAAGCTCAACTGTAATTTAGGAGTTACTTTTTTAGTAATTGAAACTATGCCAGAGCCAGACTCTTATTTTGAAAAGTATTTACAAGCTTTATTTTGAAACTTGAAGTTAAAACTATATCCCTGTTTTCTTTGTTGTTTGGAAAGGGGGTGTGATATAAAAATTAAATTTTGAAGAGAAGTTTATTTAATTTTCTGTAGCACAAAAGTTGTAATCAAGACTAAATTGTAATTCTACAACATTAATGAGAGGCTAGGAATCTGGTGAATCACTGGCTGCCATTAGGGATGCACCGATATAAAAATTTCAGACGATATCGATATCCAATATAATAATTGCTGTTATGGCTGATAACTGATATTTACCGATATTACATAAATACACAAATTATATTATACATTTATGCACAAACACACTTGTTTTTTTTGTTTTGTTTTTTGTTTTGATACCGTAAACAAACCACCAGACCTCTGACATGGCTCTACTTCAGTTATTCCTGGCTACGCAGTGTCAATATCACTATCATGATCAAACAGATACCGCTCAACCAACCATCTCCCCTCCCAAAACAGAAACTAAAGCTAAAAATTGGGAAATCAATATCGGACGTTTATCGGCTCAGTTTTACATATCGGACCGATACCAATATTCCAAAAAATGACCAATATCAGCCAATACCAATGTTAATGCCGATATATCGTGCATCTCTAGTTGCGAAGGAGAATTCAGCCTTTTCAGGGATGCAGAGAGAGAAAGCAAACTTTACTGCCATCTTTTTGAGATGGGCAGAATTAAAATCTAGAAGTTGTGAACAAGCATAAGCTCCCCACTCACCCAAGAGAGCAAGCAAACAAAGTAAATAAATAACAATATATGTTATTACTATTATTGATACAATTTTTTTGTTGCTATACTTAAAGCTCTTTTCATACTTAAAACATGGTTGTAGACATTTTTATATTTTTTCTTTTAAACATTTATGCTTTTTAAAAGCTATTTAACACGTTTTCTTTTTAATCACATTTCATCACAGCAACCTTGGGGTGTAAATCCATTGATGTACATATTGCCAGGTTTATCATGATACAATATTACATCGATGTGTTTGGATGACGATTTGATATTCCTCTATCACAAAGTCTGTCATATGATTAAATCTAATTCACATTTCTGTGATCAATATATGATGCGAAGAAAAAGTAGCTTGCAAATTTGTTGCATCTGTGCTACGTGATTAAAAAAGAAGTTTTCATTGTGCATCCAAGCACACACACACACGTCTTTCTATCTTTGTGAGGACCACACACAGCACTCATAGCCTCGCTCTGAGCCATCTTTTTTTCCCCAAGTTTGGTGAGAGGTGGATATGGAGGGGCGCAAAAATAGCTCTCGACTTGATTTGGCTTTATTTAAATAAAAATGACTACATGCCGTGAAATTCTTGGAGGGGTAGGCCATCTTGTTGGGGGCGGGGGGGTGAGGGGGTGAGGGGTGGGTTGGGGGGCTGCTTGAATAATGGTAGGGGAAACACTGTGGGCATATGATATCAATCTACATTGTGCATATGATGACTACATGAATTGATGTTTTCATTTTGCCTGTATAATTGAATCATTAACCATTTGATTGATATATCGGACTGATCTGTTGTGATACCCCTAGTTCACACTGCTGGTAAATGTGGTCCAAATCCAATTGCAACATATCAGACATTTTTCAAAGTGACTTTGACCATTAATTCTAACTCATTTCATCTGACTCTGGAGTAATATCAGACATGAACGTTGTGCTTGTTTCTTTTCCTGTTGGTGTGGTGTGATCTTTGTAGAGTGACTGCACACTTGCTTTGCTGATTGGCAAAAAATTACAGGTTCTTCTGAAAAAACTAGCATATTGTGATAAAGTTCATTATTTTCTGTAATGTACTGATAAACATTAAACTTTCATATATTTTAGATTCATTGCACACCACCTGAAGTAGTTCAAGGCTTTTATTGTTTTAATATTGATGATTTTGGCAAAAAAGTAAAGAAAAACCAAAAAATACCTATCTCAAAAAATTAGCATATTTCATCTGACCAATAAAAGAAAAGTGTTTTTAATACAAAAAACGTCAACCTTCAAATAATTGTATTCAGTTATGCACTCATTACTTGGTCAGGAATCCTTTTGCAGAAATGACTGCTTCAATGTGGCGTGGCATGGAGGCAATCAGCCTGTGACACTGCTGAGGTGTTATGGAGGCCCAGGATGCTTTGATAGTGGCCTTAAGCTCATCCAGAGTGTTGGGTCTTGCGTCTCTCAACTTTCTCTTCACAATATCCCACAGATTCTCTCTGGGGTTCAGGTCAGGAGAGTTGGCAGGCCAATTGAGCACAGTAATACCATGGTCAGTAAACCATTTACCAGTGGTTTTGGCTTTGTGAGCAGGGGCCAGGTCGTGCTGAAAAATGAAATCTTCATCTCCATAAAGCTTTTCAGCAGATGGAAGCATGAAGTGCTCCAAAATCTCCTGATAGCTGCATTGACCCTGGCCTTSATAAAACACAGTGGACCAACACCAGCAGTTGACATGGCACCCCAGACCATCACTGACTGACAACTCTTCTCGTTGTGCAGCGTTTTCTGCCACACTTTCTTCTTCCCACAGAGTGCTGTATCAAGGCATCTCAGTGGGAAGTCTGTGAATGATGTGTTTTTTTTCTCTTACTTCCTGTTCAGGTTTGAACGGCTGGAGGTTTTGGCAGTTTTTGCCTCCACTGTTCTCATCCAGCTGGGAGCTTTGTTCATCCTGAAGGAAAGGTAAGACATCTCTCTACACAACACACCTACAAGCAAACATGATATTAATCATAAACAGGGTTTAATTCAGGATGTTCTGTAAGATTTTGTTTTTGTTTTCTTTTTCTGTGTCACTCCCTGCATCTCTTGATTGAAGTCTTACTTTTAGCATGACTTTTTAGCTGAAACCTATTTTAATTTACCCACGGTTCCTGTTTTCCTACAATTTTAACTGCACAGTTTTTTTACCCTGATTTATTAAAGTTTTTGTATCTGCTGCAAAATTTGTTTCGGTTAAATTAATAACTGTTAGTGTTTGTTAACTAAGGGTTGCAATAAAATGCATATAAGAAACAGTCTGGAGTTGCTCCTGGCCCTTTGCAGATGAATTTATGGGAATTTCACTATTTAAACTTCAGAGTAAACATGTAAATGAATCACTCTAACATTTTTACCTTACTGCCTATTGCTTTATTTACATTAGAAAAGATTAATATTTATAATTTTTTGTGTAAATGTATTTACTTCCTAAAAATAAAGATTTTATCTGAACAGCTTTAATATTTTTAATTAGTGGAGAAAATATAAAGTGACTCAGTCAATCTTTAAACAAAAAAAAGTGGCAGCTCTTTGTTTTCTTGTTTTTCAGTTTTATGTATTTGAATATAGGGACACTATGCAAAAGAGGTGGTAATGTTTCCTGCTAGTGTGGAAAGCATCCATAACAAACATAATCAGATTCAGGATAATAAATCATTTGTGTCCACTGCTCTTCAACATCTGTTGATGATGTGCCGGGTTCTTACAAAGTCTTAGGATGTATGAAATAGGATTTTACAATATTTTTCAGGTCTAAGTAAGTGTGGAAAAATAAAATGGAGCCTAGAAAAATATTTGTGCTTTAAGAATAAGAATAAAATGATTATTTATAAAGCTATGCCTCTAAGAAACTTTGATTCAAAAGTAGAAGAATGTATGCTGTTTTAGTTACTGGGATTGCTAGATTGTGTCTAGTTTTCTCCAAACACAGTGCTGTTCAGTATTACCGTATTTATTTGTGTATAATACGATCTCGTACAATACAGCGCCCCCTTTTTGAGCTCAAAAAGCATAACAAATTTAATCCTCAAACTACCTCCAATTTCATATAGAACAAGATTTTTCAGCCTTTGCAGTCTTTATACATATCAGTAAAACGATCACTGGACTGTTCTTTTATTTTAACAACATATATACTAAAAGGTATTTTGACAACAAATATATATCAGCTGTAGCAGCATCATATGAATTCTGGCATTTTACACATAGTCCATCATAATGCACCAACACAAAAGTCAGAGACTTCACATGAGATTTGGGCCATCTTCTGGGAGAAAAGCAGATTACTTCCTACTTGCGAGCGCCTCCTCTGGTGGGGAAATGTTTTTTCAGGGATACAAACTTTTTCAGAACACTGGTAGACGGCCGCCATTACAGATGAACATGTGTTTGTTGTTGTTCGAGGAGCGGCCCAGTCACATGCTAATGTCATTAGTTTGCTAAGATCGCTTCAACCGCTTTTTATGACGTCGTCTCATTTCCAGACTCAGGCATTTTGTGAATGAAGCCGATATTTCAGTTAATATACATAAGTAAAAATATTTATCCGAGTATAGTACTACCCCCCAACTTTATGGATGATTTTATGGATTTAATTTTACTTATTATACTTGAATAAATATGGTACGTATACATGGGTTTTAGGGCTACACGATATTAGGATAACCTGCCAAGTACAATAACAGTGCTTATTATTGCAATAAGGTTATGACATGGGATAAATAAACAAATACATAAGTATGTAGTGTTGATGTCTTTCTGCTCTGGGATCAGAGCAAAAAAAAGAACAATAACAGAAAAAAATAATGTCCGTTCCAGCATGACTTTTTTTAAAATAGGAAGAGATCCATCCAATTGGCCATTTGATTTGTGAAATATTTCAAGCTTCCGTCTGAGTGACAAAACACATAAATGCAAACTTTTGAGCCAACCATTAGCAGTTTTTTGCAGTATGCACATTGCACAGGCTGTTATCGCGATGATGATAAAATTTTGATATATTGTGTAGTCTTAATGAGTCTCATAAAGGACATTGTTCCAGACGCCAAACCAGTATTGTTCAATATTTTTCTAACTATACCGGCATGAATCCTAACCTGTTAACTGCAGCCGGTGTAGTCTGTGGTAGAGCTTTTTTTGTTAAGTTAGGGTTGTTCAAATGATAAAATTGAAATCTATAATTTTAGAGCCAAAACACAATTTAGCCAGCTGACTTAAAAAAATAGAAAGTGTCTGAGAGCAGGTGCATGATTTAGAACAACTGTGTGTGTGTGTATGTGTGTGTGAACTTCTGAACTCCAGAGGTCTTAGGGAACACCACTGCCTCTGTGTGTCAGTGTTACACACTCACATTCACCTCCGGCCGTCAGGTTTGGGGTTGTCTTGAGGTCAGTTCTCGAAGAAGGGAGGGGAGCTTGTGTAGAATACCACACACACTACATTACATGCACACACACAGGCACACACACAGGTAAAAACGTTGGCAGGCATTCTGCCCGCTAACACTTTAACATGCAGAATTAATGTGTGTCTCTAATTCTGTGGATGTTTTTTTTAAACAAATAGTATATTACACTCTGATAGACCTAAATCCAGTTTCTCACTTGGCTAATATTGCTGGAGACTTGTTAGTAAATAGCATTTGCCTTTAAACGTTTGAAGGGATTATCATTTTCCATACAGGGCATATTATTCATTTTGTTTGTATATTCATAAGATTAATATATTTTGTTACATAAAATGACTATGTTCCCAGCTTTTGTGATGCCAAAACAGCAACACGCCTAAATAAAACTCAGAGCAACAGAGAGAAAAAAGGAGAGACACACATCCATCTTGCTATCCTTATGAGGACTTCACACACACCGCGCTCACAGCTTATCTGCTGCTCCCGTTTTTAACACCAGGCAAAAAATGCATTTAAAACAGCTGACGTTTACTTTAGATCACAGTTTGAAACGCTCCAGCATTTTTAAAAAGAAAAACAACACGGACACGCTGATTACAGTGCAGGGCAAAAGTGAAAGTAAAACATGGTGCTGAGCACCCGTTTGGTAAAGAAACTTAGACACAGCTGTTCTTTCTCCCCTTTTATTCCGACACAGAGGGTAGAAACAGCTAAATTAGACAGTTAAAACACGTTTACAGTTCATAACTCACCCTTGTTGTTGTAACATTCATCCTGTGTTGTCCGCAAGCACTTTCCACCCTGTTGTGGGTCCATTTTCTTGAAAAATGAAACTTAACCAGGCACTTTGAAGAAGCTCTGCTCTGATGCTGGTAGTCTATGTAGATAATAATGTGGGTTTACACACCCCAGAACTGAACATTTTGACTTCTGAACTTGCATTTTCGGCATAACGCTATGAACTACAAAATCACACAGCGAGGAAAAAAATGGCGGACTATGAAATCCAGTTCGCCGTAAATACATTACCATAAATGGTATTTCCGAAGAAAATAAGTGTGACGAAATAAACAATGAAACGAAATAAGCAACAGCAGATTTTGAACAAACTGAAAAATCTGACCCATAAAATAATATAAAAATATCTTTGCAGTAACTGGACAGAATAAATTAAAGTTTTCTACACTCCTAGACACTTTAATTGCACAAAAATGGTTTATAAATGTAGAAAAAGTGCATTTAGCATGATATGTCTCCTTTAAAGGGATCCATGATTAGTTTAGACCAGGGGTGCCCAAACATTTTCCCTGGGAGGGCCAAAATGAAAATCAATCTGAAGGCTGTGGGCCAAATGCAATAATACAATAGATGAAACGCAACTACTTTTTAAGTAAAGTTGTTTTATTTCTTCGTGGTTAAGGTAGCAGTCAGTGCAGTGGCCCACATTTTTTTGTTTATTTTTTTGTTAGCCAATGAATATGCAGAAAATTTGATGTACATTCAAGCAGCAAAGGCTCATGGGACTTTTCATAAATTTAAATTTGAGTATTTGTGGTCTTAGTATGCAAATCTAGATATGTGCTTAAATCTAATCTAAACGTCTCTTGTAGTTGTTACCTGTATTTTATGTTAAATTTTAATTTAATTCTATGATAAAGAATGTGCCATGAGTTAAGACTATCCACACTACATCTCTTTATATAATTGGTCCAATGGTTGGAAGGATTAAGGGGAAATGTAGTGTTTCTGAACTAAACAGGAGAATACAACCTAGTAGCCAGGACAACTGCTAGTGGGCCAAATCAAATGGCTTGGCAGGCAACGCGGGCCCCACTTTGGACCCCTCTGGTTTAGACTAATAGTTTAGACCTTTCACATTAGACTTTATTTGATTAACATATATTTTAACTGCAAAATATAGTCTGCAAAAATACTGTAGGCTGTTAAGTTTTGTAAACTTTTAAAAATATATTATAACACAGATGGAACCATTTTATTTACACGCAAAGCATACAGGGTAAATGATGACGTCGACAGGTCATTGGTGCAAGGCTCTGAGTGAGCTATATTCACCCTGAAGGTTAATCTTGGAAAATATCTGACGATTTACTCTTTTAAATGAAACCAGAGAGCGTTGACAGAGAGGAGAAGGTAGAAATGACTCAGCCTGTAACTGAAAATATAGATTGAGGACAACAGAGCTGCTTCATGGAAGAAGAACCTCAGCTTAGCCTGTTAGCTTTAGCGTTAGCGCTATATATGTATTAGCTTGGCACTAGCGCAAAAGCTAGCAAGCTAAACTGAAGTCCTCCATCCACATTTTCAGTTGCAGGTGCAGTCATTTCTTCATTCTCCTCTCTGTCATGTAGATGAAGGACCTCAGTGATGAGAGGAGAATGTGTAGGGCAGAGCTAATATACAGTATATGGTGAGACAGCATTGGTGCTAACCCAAAAGCTAACAGGCTAAGCTGAGGTTCTTCTTCCATGAAGCAGCTCTGTTGTCCTCAATCCCCATTTTCAGTTGCAGGCTGAGCCGTTTCCACAGTCTCCTCTCTGTCAACGCTCTCTGGTTTCATTTAAAAGAGAAGATTGTCAGATATTGTCCAAGATTAACCTTCAGGGTGGATATAGCTCACTCTCTGCCTCGCACCAATGACCTAGTCAACATCATCATTTACCCAGTATGCTTTGCCCATCCGTCCGTTTTCTTCTTCTTATCCGGCTTCGGGTGGCGGGCACAGCAGCCTAAGCAGAGAGACCCAGATTTCTCTTTCACCAGCTACTTGGGCCAGCTAGTCTGGGGGAATCCCAATGTGTTCCCAGGCCAGCTAAGAAACATAGTCCCTCCAGCGTCTCCTCCCAGTGGGACGTGCCCGGAACACCTCACCAGGGAGGCATCCAGGAGGCATCCTAACCAGATGAACCACCTCAACTGGCTCCTCTCGACGTGGAGGAGCAGCGGTCTACTCTGAGTCCCTCCTGGTTGACTGAGCTTCTCACCCTATCTCTAAGGGAGAGCTCAAGATACCCTGCGGAGGAAACTCATTTCGGTCGCTTGTATCTGTGATCTCGTTCTTTTGGTCACTACCCATAGCTCATGACCACAGATGAGGGTAGGAACGTAGACTGACCGGTAAATCGAGAGCTTCGCCTTCTGGCTCAGCTCTCGCTTCACCCCGACAGACCGGTACAGCGCCAGCATCACTGCAGACGTAGCACCAATCCACCTGTCGATCTCCCCGCTCCAGTCTTCCCTCATTCTTGAACAAGATCCCGAGATACTTAAACTCCTCCACTTGGGGCAGGACCTCCTCCCTGACCCGGAGGCGTCACACTACCATTTTCCAGCTCAAGACCATGGTCTCGGATTTGGAGGCACTGATCCTCATCCCGGCCGCTTCACTCTCAGCTGCGAACTGCTCCAGTGAGAGGTGGAGATCATGATCTTATGAAGCCAATAGGTCCACATCATCCACAAAAAGCAGAGATGCGATCCTGAGGTCACCAAAACAGATCCCCTCAACACCTTTGTGTGTAAGTTAAATGGCTCCTTCTGTGTTACAATATATATATTTTTTAATTTGTTAAAAAATTATTAAAACAAAACAGCCTACAGTATTTTTACAGACTTTATTTTGCAGTTAAAATAAATGCTTATCAAATAAAGTCTAATGTTACAAATAATGATGGATCACTTTAAGCAGGATTTTGACACCTCCACAGGAGCTCGCCTTTTACCCAAAAACGTCTGAGGCTACATCTTTGAATGTCTAAGCCTGAAGGTCCAACTACAGTGATGGCGATTAATAATTCTTAAGAAATTAATACGAATCTGCCCACCTTAATTTGTGTATAAATTTGCTGTGGATATAAAGGTGGATACAAAGCAAACAACCAAATGGTGAGTACAAAGGTACAGTGTGGGTGGAGACGGACAAACAAACACATAATTTTTAAAAGCTGTCCAATCAAAATGCACCCACATTGGTCGCCTCTAGCAAACACTCAGGGTTCAATGACATGTTTTTTCTCTCATACTTTACTTACCAACCCAGTGAAATATTACATCTGTTTAGGATTGTGACCCTGTTTTCATTGCTGGAATATTTCAAGTTTTTCTTTTAAGGAAACATAATATTCCATTGTACTGTTATGTTGACGACACCCTGTTGTACCTCTCTTCTAAGCCCACTTCTGTACTACTTTCATCTTTCTTATCTGACTATTTGGGAGAAATTGCTAAAATTTCCTCAAACTTAGCTACAGTATTTTAAAAAGGAATTTCTTCTTTTTGGCACCAAGTCAACCCCCTTGACATCTTCCTATTTGCCAGAAGTTCAAAGTTCATTGAACTTCTGAATGAATGAAGTTCATTTTCCAGAGTTTCTCTCTTCCTCCACTTAAGGAATACGGGTGTCTTGAGACACATTCTTTAAAAAGATCATGAACAAAGTTGTCATGGGTAGCCTCATAGTCCTGGTCATATTTCTTTTTTGTCTATCTTCTTCATCAACCTGTTTTTCGTTGTTTTCTTTATCTTTGTCATTTTCTTTTGTGGTTGTCTTCTTTATGTTGGTCATTTTTTGTTGTCTTTTTTTCTTCATTATCTTTCTTCTTTATCATCATCATCATCATCTCAGTCTTCTTTTTTTTCTTCACTTTGTTTAGAACGTGTGTCAACTGGACTGAAACTGAAAGAAAAGCAGCCAAAGCTAAGAAAAATTAAAAAAATAAAATAAAAATCTGAAAGACCTGCAGAAATTCTAGAGAACTTTCTAAATATCAAACCCAACATTCGTTTCTTTTAGAGATCACTTTAAAAGAATGAAGTGATGAATCAAAAGTTTGAACATGATGCAGGTGTTACCATGTGTTTTTCATGTGTACTGATGGCAACAGACAGGTCCTGTTGTGTTGTCTGATCTTAACGTCTCTCACATTGATCTGCACTTGATGCTGGCTCAGATGAAAGATGTGTTTGTGCCACTTTGCTTTCCCCATGTGTATAAATGGATTTCCTGTTTTCTCTTTCCGTTTGTTCGCTCCTTGTCTCCTCTCGTTCGTTTCACGTGTCTCCATCACCTCCTTTCCCTTCCCCCTCCCTGCATCAGACAAACACACAGAATCAGCTCAGTCCCACCCGGCCACTGTTGTTTACTCTGTTTGTTTCTGTTTTGTTAGTGTGGAGCGCTTCATGGAGCAGCCTGAGGTCCACACGTAAGTATTATCCCTCCACACACACACACACACAAATTCCCACATCATGTTGTAAAATAAACAAACATGATATCCTCCTGTGTGTCTCTGAGGGGAAAGCGCACACACAGAGCCAGCTGTTGTGAGAACAGAACGTCCCAAACAACTGGGTCAGACATGCCAACAAACTGAGTAATAGATTTCGAAGACTGACATGTTCACTGTTCATTTTTGCTCTCTGACAGGACGTATTTGTCCACACCAGCAGGGTTATTTAGGCACAAGCCTGGGGCCAGAGCTACATTTCTAACGCCACCATCTGATTGGAAACATCTCTTAATTTTAAAATCTGATTTACTTTGCAGTTTAACTAAAACACAAAGTCCTCTCTCAGATCTCTTCCTCTGGTAACTCCAATATCAAACAGATAATGAGGAGATTTAAACTCATTTAAACCCATCAGCCTCATATTTTTTTCTCTTGTCTGAATGGAGGTGATTGGCTGCTTAACAGGAGGGGGGTGGAGCAACACCTCCATTCTCTCTCTGATCTTTGAGAGAGAGGCTGCGATTATTTGAAACTGTTTCTTTATCTTGTAAATTGATTGTTTGATGTAGGGTATTGGTTGGGTTCCTTTGTAGACATAATTAATTTAGTTTGGGGGAATTCTAAGGTCAGAGGAAATATTTGTGTTCCATTATGTGGCTGTTGGGTTCAGTTTGAGTGTCCCAGTTGAACCCAGAAGGTTTGCCAAGGTTTTGTAGCCTCTTTCAGTGACAGTTTAGATCAATTGAAGTGGGATCTTGTAGAAAAGTTATGAACAACTGATTTCTTAAATGGTGAGTTGGTTCTATTTTGTCTAGCCATTCATTGGATGTATCAAAATCAAGTTTGAGAATAAATCTGTGAGAAAATCTGAATAACCCTCCTGCTACCCCCGAGGAGTCAGTTAACTGGGGCCCTGGGGGGTTTTGACTCAAGGACAACAGGAGGGTTAAATACAAGTTCCTCAAAGAAAGATTAGAAAGGATTTGCAGTTTCCTCCTCCTACAGACCAACATATAAAAAATCCTTCAATGAATCTGGAGGAATTATTGGGAAGCAAACCTAATTTGGACAAGCTGTGATGTCCTATCCCTCAGATGGCATCAAGCACTGTCATTCATGTTAAGCCTGATGTTAACCTGTTCCAGAGGCTGTGTCGACTTCTCAAAGACTTATCTGGGATTGACCATGAAACAAGAATTGTGCTCAGACAGAATAGTATTTCAGATTTTGTTGAAAGAAATGGATCAAAAAGGTAAAAGGAGCAACCATAGTGCTGTCAGCAACAAGTCCAAAAGCCTGATTCTGAAATGAGATGAGACTGAGTTAGTGTTCTTGACAAATCAAAGAAACTCCAGCTTTAAATGCTCAACCAGCTGGACAAAAAGAAGCCTTCTGAATATATGTTTGATGGTCAGATGAAGCAAAAATTAATGTCAACCACAAAAACAGAAACTCAAAAAACATTGCGTTAAGCATGGTGGCGGCGGCATCATACTTCATCATGCTTGTCTGTCTTCAAAAAGAAAACAAGTCGAAAACAGATGAATGGACTGGACTTGGACCAGTGTTTTATGATGGTAGCATCAATACAGAAAGGTCCAGCACAAATTTTATAGCCACTAGGGCTGCAGCAACGAATCGATAAAATCGATTATTAAAAGCGTTGGCAACGAATTTCATTATCGATTCATCGTGTTGCGGCATTTATGCGTGCCTCGCCACGTCGCGGAGCTGATTACGTCACCCACAGAGCGTTGTCAGTGCTGGCTGACCTAAATAAAGTTTAGGAAGAAAGAAAAAACTTTACCTGTAAAGAGACGCCCTCTCTGACTCTTGAGTGAAAAGCAGAGACTACGAACTTTAAACCAGTTTCTAAATCGTGTAATGTCAAATAGATACAAAGTTATCATAAAAAGTATGCTACATTTATTCTTTTTAAAAGACGGTCTATTTGATGTGTGCCGCGTCGCGAGGAGGAAGTGCGTGTGGGGGAGGGGGGACCTTAAATCCATCGTTTCGTCCCCCTCTCAGGCCAAAAGTATGAACTCTCCAGTTTTTTCTGACTGAGGCCCAAAGTTATTTGTTGAGCAGCAAAACGATTCAGGATGAAGAAAAAAAAAGACGCGAGCAGCAGGTCTGCAGGGGGGGGG